CCCTGTTTTGGTTGTTAGTCAGATAAATCTAAATAATGATTCATTATTGAGACGCTCCTTTTACCTATAATGTTTCTTAGAGGGTGTCTCTTCCACATCGAAAATGTTGCGTTCCGTTTAAAATGCTTTCCAGGGTGTTAGGCTTTTTGGTTAGACTAGGAATGGATGGGTATGCCTCGTAAGATTCTAGAAGGAGCACTTCTTCACGGAATCGTTGGATTAAAGTACGGTTGGAATGATCAAACCAGCTACTCCATGCCTAGCATTCTTTTGGTACAGTTAGTTTACATTATTCATGAGGAGTTCGAAAAGATAACTCTCAACACACCCAATGGTTCCTCTGGAAAGTTTCAAAGGGAGTATGAGGAGTGAATTAAGAGCACAGGTCTGATTTGCCTATAGTAGGCTATTGCGCAGTTGTCCTGATTCGGAAAATGGGCGAACCGAGACATGCATTTTCTGACACTCGATGCTTCCGAACCATTGTGTAGGCTGGCAGAAGACGAAGGTTGTCAGAAAAACGGACGCTTACGGATGAGCTTGGTACTGTAAATAAAAACCACAACCAGCAACACACATAAGGTAGTCTGGTCAAGTAATACGAACATCAGTTTGTTAAATAAATAGGTTGTTTTCATAAAGGAAACTACTCATAAAGCTGCTAAAAACTTTTCGACTGCCCACGACCGGTTTCGCCCTTCTTAGAGCTCATCAGGTAGGCGCAGTCCCCGAGTTTCCGTCAACCTTATGTTATACTTGAACCTAAATTGAACTGTTTTGCAAACTAATTTGGTTTTTCAGGGGACTCGCCTGGAACCCAGCTGAATCTCTCGTTTTTGATTTCTCCGGGTCTCAAGTAGAACATAAGGTGACGGAAACTAGGGGACTGCACGTACCTGATGAGCCCCAAGAAGGGCGAAACCGGTCGTGGGCTGTTGGCGAATTTTCAGCAACCTTATGAGTAGTGCATTGTGGAAACCAATTTTCTTCAGATGCCTGAGCCTGCGTATGAACCACTACCACACGGATAGACATACCGTAGGGACTGAGACGTCATTTCAATGAGCAGAGAGGTGGCACATGTATTCACCTACACCGAATTATCCTAGCAATGAAAAGTATTTCGGTTTATGCGGCACATCGCTAGACTGCTTTGTACTACTTAGTTTGAGTTTTCGGCTTGCATATCAAAGGATGGTTTTTCCGACTATACAAATTTCGTGGATGCAACACAAGCTCGCTGCGGCTATCTACAGATACCGGTGTTGGAGTGACGTTCTGGGTTCATTGCTTCTTCGGTGGTGAAACATGTTCAGACATGCAAAAGCTCGCACTACGAGAAGTCAAGGGTTTTAAAACCCGGATGTGTTTTCTGTTTTAGTTTGATGACAAGGTCAGATTAGGTTGTGACCAACCATACAAAAAACTTGTAACACACTAATCAGCGACTGTCGTAAGTTGTCTAACGCAGTTTAAGGTGCAAACGGGACAGAATGACAGGTCTGCATCCTTTGATGAAACTCAGATATATTCCAGAGTGAGAACACTGAAAATCCTAGCCAGACGGATAAATCAAGAAGAGTAACCAAATGTATTCTGTATTCAGGTGAGGATGCAAATCATTTGATTCTTATGAGACGACAGACCGTAAAAGTTAGACGGGATTGTTGACTGAATGGGGGTTGTAAAAAAGTCTTCATCCAAACTTCTAAGGCTCTATGGGAATCGCGACAGGTGTCGCAACCAAGTTGCCCCACCAAAAATCGGGTTTCGAGCTGTTTAGCACTATTTTTTGGTATTTGAAAACCCTGTGTACAAACGGCATTAAACAGAATCTCACAAATTTTGAGAAGCACCTAAAGATGAAAATTCTGTGAGCATACTAGATTTTTCAGTAAAATTCGCCCCCGACATTTACACGATGGTAGTAAGCGTCCAAAACTCGGCCCGGGGTTTACGGCATTCAGGGTCCTGGGAAGGGACTGACATTTCCAACAGTGAGGTGGTTCAGTGAACAAGTGGCGCTTGGATGAGTAAGGCACATGAAACTAGTGTATCGAATTTCCCGTTGCTTACCAGTTCAGTACAGGACGTTGCACCCACCATTGTGGTTTGCCTAGGACCTGAATCCATTAGTAAGTTTAGCTATATTGATTTGTCTTTGTGTACGGAACTTGAACCAGTCAGGAGTAGAACACGCATCAAAAGAATCAGGAGCATCTTGAAGGACGGAATCCTACCCGAGAAGTCACAAAAGATGAAAATGACCACGGGCTCTGAAAGGAGCAATCGTTCGGTGTAGGAAAAAGGGACAGAAATGGTTAGAGGAACAATTCAGTCACCAGATGACAAGCCCAGAGACAGTTTTTAGCCCTGCAGAGCTACCGGATAATGTTGTTCTGGATAGTGTATTCTACGACATGAGTGGATTCCAGAATTGTGGGATGAGTTTATTTGCCAGATAATTATTAGTTCAATGGTCCAATCGAATAAGTAGTTGAAAGACATTATCGATCGCTGGAATGCAGCATTAAAAACGTGCCTTGCGCCAAAATTTTCGTTTGTTGGGAAGGTACATCACTGTGTAATTCTCATAGCGTGAAGGCATAAATGTAAACCGAAACCTATGATTTTGCGATGCCGGACAAAATCGATGTTCGCCTCCTGGCAGTCGCCATAATTGATTGCCTGTCTGTCTTACTGCCTCAAATGCATACAATCATTGGCTGAGCGAGTACAAGAGAGCTGTCTTGCCTGTCGTTCTAATCTCACGTCTTCACATGCGGACATAGGGGCGTTTGAGTCACAGCTGGACTGGAGGTTGCACGGTTTTCATGGCAAATCTACCAGTTTTCAATTCAAACCTACCGTTTGTCAGGGTTCAGGGACACAGAATACCCTCACTGACACTTTATATAGGGGACGGAAACCGGGCCTCTTAAGTAAAACCTTAGAATATACTTCTAGTGATGTGAACAACCACGGTTCAGTACATTTTGAAGATAAGACTTACGGATAACCAGTTCATAGTGCTTTTTCTCGAAATCTTGATAGTAGAGTGGTAGCCCAGCATGAAGTACAGAATCAACAACCCTCACCTCCTTCATGTTCCAAATGGTGTATCAACTCAAAAGCATACTAGGGAACCATTAATATTACCTTTAACAGACCTTTATCACACGTACCAGGAATGGCACCTTCAACAGGGGTAATTCTTGATATGGTTATACTTTTGGGAGCAGCAAGCACGATACCAACATGGTAGCGATTCGCTGATCACACTCCGTCAGATTGTAGAACAACGACATACGTATAAAAGACACAAGTAGTAATCCTGGATTTCCAAAAGCACGTTTAATTAAGTTGACCGATCTGTTCCTCTTAATACGCTTGCCCAGCAAGGAATACACCGAGAGTTTGCGAACATAATAGGTTCATCGTATTTTCAGACTCCTGACCGAGTTGTATCATACGGACAACTCTCCAAAACCTTCCGAAATGAAAGCCGTAACCGTCAAAGTTGTCCAATTTCTCCATTCCTTTGTGATTTCACGTCCAACAAGATATTGAGATACACACCGGAAGGTGTTTAAAACGCTGGTTTTCAAATAACTGCCGACAAATTACTTGTCGGTCTGGAATATGCACAGGAAATCATTCTCTTCTTCAGAGAGAAGGCGCAGGTAATGTTGGATGAACTGACAGAAGTCCTTCGGCATGACCTTTGCATCCATAAATTTTAAGATCACGCTCCGGGGCATGCACTCAGTGAACACGCCACTTACAATCCGGGGAGATGCACTCGAAGTTATGGAGCGTTTTACGTATCTTGAAGGTCTTATTAGTTCCGACTGTAGTGCGACAGATAAGGTCAGTGCACGAATCCGCAAGGCTCTGGTACGGGTTGCTAATTTGTGATACCCATGACGTCAAACTGGTGTATCCCTGAATCTCGAGGGACGTGCGTATCAAGCTACAGTGCGGGGCTGTTTTGTTGTATGGCCGAGACTTGGCCTGTTAGAGCAGTGGAACTGATATGTCTTGAGGTGTTCGACAACCGTTGTCTCAGAACCAGAGCTTGTGTGGTTTGGTGTCGGAGAATCCGTAACGATGCAATCAGAAAGCGAATCTGCGGTAGTGCAGGGACTCCCATTGAAGAATGTGCCCAGCACCAGAAGCTGCATTGGATGGGGGTATGCCGAACCATCATTTACCGAAAAGTGCTGTTTTCTGTGTCCAATTAAGAGTAGCGGAAGCAGAGAAGTGGCCAACCCTTGACATGGCAGATAGGTACGAAAGAAATTACGAAACGTTTAGATGCAGTCGCCTTCCAGGATAGGGACCGCCTGGTTGGAGACACTATAGGATTTGGCCGCTAATCGATGTTAGTGGCATTCTTGTTGTCAGTTTCTATCCAGAATGAATGAGCGTCTGGAGGTATAGACACCTCGGAATGATTGTAGTAAGCCGGCGCTAAGTCCCTTCCCTGACCACTTTTATTCTTTACTTTACAATATGGCTTCCAAATTAACTATAGTTCTGCGGCAGCGAAGCATCAGCGCTCACCGTTGATTTCAAACTGTTGATGATGATGGACTTGTGGAAACCAAATTCACTACCCCAGCTGATATGTACAAGCAGCCTTGCTCCGTATGTAGAGTATTCCTTCACGTTGATTATTCGTTCAACACAGACGAAATCGAAGAAAGATTACTGTACACGATACTTTCTCACCAAGTTCACTTAGACTTATGGTTAAGGGCAGAATAACCCGCATCCGGAGCGGAGGGCTGATGGGTTTGATCCCTGAAAGTGACCAAATTTAAGCAGAACTAACCAACCAACCCATTCACAATGGGCATTAGACTTGGCTACGGTTATAAACTGGTAATTAGCACTAAAATGGGGGTGTCAAATCAACAGACGGTACCACTGAACCTAGAAATGTTCTTCGGAAGCCCATGACCGATTTTCATAAATCAATTTTGCTACTGTTGCAGACGGGACGCATTGGCAAACGAAGTGGCCAGCGCACAGCAGCGGCTGTCTAATTTACAGCAACAGGTAGAAAATGAATCACAGAAGGTCAATGCGAATAAGCTCCAAAACGAAGCTATGAAAAGCGCTACTTTTGTCGCGAACTGGCAGGTGAGTTCCTTGTGACCGGTGTTACTCTCCCATCCGAGGGTCCGAGCGGAAAGCAGTGACGTTAGGCTGTTGAAGCATCCCTACTGTTCCAATCACCCTAAACTCAAACCTGGAGGACTGCTTCATGTCCTTCCAACTTGCGCACCCGCATATTATCCATGGATAAAAGCTCACAGAAATATCAATACTCTCATTCGACAGCACGTGGATGAGTACACCGATTCTATTCAGCATACCACTTCACCCCGAGCTACGAAAAAGTACCCTTAAGCCAACCGAATCCCCCCTCACTTGACTTTTCAGTACTACGCACTCATCTGCCCACCGTAGCTTTTCTCTTAATATTGACTGAATGTATTCACTAAGCAGCTGCCACAGTCTCATGAAGATTCGTTTTAGGTGTTTGAGGGACTCGTAAATTCTCATTTGAACAGTTGCCCTCCTGTCCTGGCGTAGTTATTCTGGTGAGTCTACACCAAAGAGGGGAAGCACTGGACTCGAGTTTCGATTATATTAGAACCCATCAGCAGTGCCTATTCCATATCCGTGCCGGGCTTTGAGCCCCATGCGTCTGACATGTGAGACAAGAATATTACAACTACCCCACCAGTGCACATTGGATTCATCTGAATCTCCATGTTCAAACGGGCGAACGTGTTCCCGCTTGGGCGATTTGATTGATTTGTTCGCGTCAATCGGTTGACCCCCCCACCTGTCAGAACTCCCAAGTTGAGGAGCACGACAGACGCTTGAAACCTGCTTGGAAATTCATTTCAATACGAGGAACGTATGTAATAGCCACAGTTTCACAAATAGAACGATAAGCAATATCAATTCTGCTCATTTTTCTCCATTCCTATTCATTCTTGAAATTCCCGTTTCCAACCAGCCTCAAAAAAACAGTTGTCCCGCGGAACACATTCATCTGCACACCAATTTGGCTTTCACGAGACTCAACTGAATCCCAGCTAAATCACTCGCTTATGATATTATTGAACTGCACAAAATCCATTTCATGTTTCACTTGGTACAATATTCGAGACGGTGGTGGCTGCTTAGAGAATATATTCGGTCAATATTCGAGGAAGGACAGGCAGATGAATTAAAAATGGAGATACATTTGAGGGTAGAATTCTAGATCTTGTAAAATAGCTTCAGAAAGTAGGTGGTTTCCTAGAAACACCTACTGATCTCTAGTAGAGCTCACAACCCAAAACGGTTTGCCCAAGCAAGCCTGTTAGCAGCGAGGGCCCCAGAACACCTCTAAATGTTTCTCTAAGATAACAAATTAGTTTGAAATACAGATCGCAGGAAGACGAACGCATGAGAAAGTACGTTTCCATTAGGCGCAATCACAGTAACCGCTATTCATATTGAGGGGCACTATCATTGTCGCCCGAGGGTAACTGATGATTAACTGGACTTAGCATTGTTTCTAGCTTCGACCGGTGAGAAAATGGAGTAGAAAATGTGAACGAGGAATGTCCGTTATTACAAGGTTATAAGCTACAAAATGACTAGAAAGACAATGCTTTTATTGATTGCTCGTTCATGTCGCAAGCGTAACTGCCTATGCAAAGCCCGGTGAGCAACCTTGAATACTGCTCAATCGATAGGTAAAACCAATCGATCTGAATGCCTGACTTGAAACTTGAACTGCATATTAACGAAAAAATTCAGTGTACACATAAGACACGCGGAATTAGGCCATTGGAGTTAGATAGCGGAAACATTGTTCTTCATATAGGCAGAGGGGAATGACAGAAATATTATTAAACGCGGTGTTTTCCCCTGATAGACAGCAGCCCAGATGGCCAAAGGGGCGTTTTCACTGAAAGAAATTCACAGAAACCAAACATACCCAGCCCCATTGGCCAGCTATCATCATCATCATCATCGACAGCTATCAACTACGATGCCCGTATGCCAGTGTCACAGACTATAATGGTCTACTGTAAAGGCACCGTTGATTTGACAAGCATCAAACTGTCTGTTGTTGAAAACGAACGGCCTCTGCTCTAGTCCTAAGTGAGGATTAATTGACGAGGGAGAGCGCTCACAGCAGTCTGCGGTTGAGGTTGAAATCGAAAATCCACATGGGACAAAAACAGGTCAACCAAGGCGGGAGAGCAGTTACGTTTGTCACCAATCCATGGCCATTTTGACTTCGAGTTTGATGTTGATAACCTGGAGCTCCTCAAAAGCCCAGCCATCAACTGCCATATATTAACAACCACGCTTCGAGACATCCATAAAGTAGGTTCATTCCAACCAGGGTAAATCATAACTGTTTTGTACTCAAAACCAGCTCGCGCCGATGGTGGCCAGTTGGTTACCAATTATCATTACGATTTTTCCTGTCTTCTACATGGATCCTTATACAACATTATATATTGACCTCGTAATCACACAGTATGAAGAGGACAGTATTATAGTTCCATTGTAAACTGAATAGACCAGTAGCAAAAGTCCAAAATAGCTGAGTAGCTGACGAACGAAACGAAAAGCTTCGGGCGTCACTCTGTCATTTCACTTTAAGCTCCATGCTGTAGTAGGTCGAAACAAAGATAAACCCATTTGTAATTGTGAATCTATTTTATTCACCATGCAGGAGCTAGATGACGACGATTACGAGTTCGAAATGCCTCAAGACCCGAAAATCTGAACAGCAGCCAACGTTATAACCACATACAATCGCTAATGGTGACGCAAGCCATCAGACAGGACAGTCCGAGAAAGGAGAACTCTGTGGTCATGTCCATTTGCACGTGAGCATTTAATTTCCTATGGAAAATCATGTCCGCCAAGCATAGCTGACCATACTTGCCAAATCTAAGTGGTTCAATAATGAAAACTCTGTGAAATTTACTTGTTTTCCGACTCACACCATGGATTGGAGAACTTGACTGACGGGAAGAAGAAATGGATAGCAAAAAACACCAATCTATTGTACTGATCGATTTGGAATGCCAGTCAGATGAGAAAATCCAATTTAGTGTGAAGGAAGACAGCTAACTACTTTCTTCACAAGAAGATAGATTGCATTCTTATCGATACCGTATTTATGAAGAAGCTCTTCTGGTTTTCCAGAGCGAGGAACTTCACGTACAGCCATCCGATGGACGGTGTGAGGTACGCCTACCTGAGAAAGAGCTTGCTCCACTGCATCGCCTATTCCACCTGTAACGAAAAATAACAGAATGACGGTTAGCGGGAAGGGAGAAAACGGTGCCGCAGCAATGAAAAAATGTTCGGAGCTAGTCCAAGAGCCAGCAGATTTCACCAGCCGTCAGGAAACAGTCAGTCGCATCGCCCTCCTTACCATTAACTGTGGCTGTAGATTACAATGAAGGCAACGTAATCAGAATTCTTCGAACTGTTCAGGCACGACATTCGTGAAGCATCGACAGTTCAACAGATTATGGACACTGCCCAGTGAAGAAGGGCTTTGGGAATACGTGGAATTCAGTTGTCGCTAGGATTAGTGAAACAGAACGGTCCCCATGAAGGTCACTACGGCTGCATAAAACTGAGTCCTACCTGAAATAATACCGACACCAGGAACCAGTAAGAAAAGAGAACAAGCCAACCAAATGAGACAGACACTTTCAAATCACGTCGAAGCAAAAAAGACCTTTCTGCCTTGTTAAGGACAGAGTAGTGATGACAACATCCGAGGCGTTCCCACTCATTTTTCGTGCCGCTTACCCAGCCTATTCCATAACATCCTCGGTGGGTGTCTCCTAGGCTACTTAGATTGTTATGGAGCACAATCGGTGGAGACCTCTGCACTTATTACAAGGATTTTGTCCTTTGGGGAGACCATCTGAAGAGGCCAATGTAAGAAGTTTTTGTGTGCGTGAGGGATCTACCATTCCAAAAGGTTTCAGGCGACCAACCTCCCCTGCAATGTTTGAAAAACCATGAGAGGTCCTTCAAGGCTTCACCTTAACATGAGGCCCACACTTCTCTCGCTATCGTACTGAGAATCAACAAGCGATTGCACTACTGACAACTAGTTTTAGTGCCCAATCGGGAGCTTTCGATTAGAATACAGAAGGGGAAGGCTAGGATCTGAGTAAAACAAAAAGGAACGGACCTTCGGGTGCATGATCTTCGACTGTAACCAGGTGGTTGCATGTTTCTTCAACAGATTTGCGCAGCAACTCAGTATCCATCGGTTTGATTGTGAATGGGTCAATAACACGCACCTCGATTCCATCGTTTGCCAGAAGTTCTGCTGCTTTGAGTGACTCAAATAGGGTAACGCCGGCAGCGACAATAGTTACGCGATCTGACTTCGGACCGGAACTTCGCACAACCTGTAACCAGCGAAAAACCAGGAGGATCATTACTAGAAACCGGGTGCGTTGCAAAAAGAACGTCAACGTTTTTCAAACTAAACTCTTACAATCTATTGTGGATTTAGTGAAGGTACCTAAGGAGAGTGACTATATATCCCTATAGGACGCACTTTTCCGTGTCCGATGGCAAACGTCTCATTGGGATTGTATATCACTGGGTGGTTCGGTCGGCCAGTACGGATGAAGCAAATCCCCAGAGTATTTGCGGCTAACTCAACTGCTCTTTCAGTTGACACCGCATCGGAAGGGTAAAATACAGTTGAACCCAGTACAGATCGGAACATTGCTAAATCTTCCAAAGCCATCTGGCTAGGTCCATCTTCACCTGCAAAATAGAAAATATGAGGTGGTGAAGCTTGCGCGTGGCTGTATCAGTCTCCTAAGCCTAAGCACGCATTACGGAATACGCATGAAGTGTATAGACTCAGGCAATATAAAACGTCCGGCGCGTTAGTAGAGACTGTTGGAGGCTTGCATTGGTCAGATTCAGTCCTGTGTGCATACGAAAAACAGGAATAGCACCATAAAAAGTGTAAGCACACGCACCAGTGGTTGATTCTGATACACAGACAAAGAAACCATCCAGACAGCTTTTAGAACCCCACCCATAGATGTGGAATAAGTCAATCGATTAAAACCAGATTCTGGAATTTTTCACACTTCGATACAATTAGCTGTTTCACCTCCATGTTCTAGTTCACTTTTGGCCTGATCACTAGTGTGTCAAAATAGGCATCCTAAGGTCTTTGAAATGCGGTTAAAATATTTTCATCGAAAAAATTCTACGGTGTTTCCGGAGCGCCAAAGCTCCGGACCATCGCATCAGCTGGCGATGTAAATACAACGTATCAAAATTCAAAATACACTAGACGGCTTCACAGTTCAGTGACGGTTCACCTTCGCCGCAGTAAGCGAGAATCATGTGGATCAACGGCTCAAAGGTGACACGGTGACGAGAAAGATAGCTGCTTAAGTGTTTCCAACTGACATGTCTCTCTAATATGTCCAATGTCGCAAATTCAGGGAATTCGATTAATAAAGTAGCTGTTCCTAAAGCCTTGTTGTAATGTTCAGTCGTTGAAATGTACGTGATTTAGTTGGCAGAAGCGCAGAGTTTGGGAGACAAGCTGATGGAAAGAGGGGCTAACATTCCCCGGTCTTAGAAATAATTCACTCAATAAGCGCCAAAAGAAGCCACATTAGCAAAGTGCTATAGGTCGATTAGATATGGCGCAGAAGCACCATGTCTTATACAGTAGAACAACAAGGAAGTTGCAAATATATACCATAACAAGACACGTGTCGGAAGCATAGAAAGTGGAATTCAACGGCCGAAGGCTTAGCGGACATTAGATCGCCCGTTGGTTTTCATGTCCCGGTGCCAAATCATACTCTTAGTTCACTCATGAGCAATAATTATACACCAATTTCAAAGTGCAATGTAAGTGAACGTATTAGTTTTACTTCCGGAACAAATCTATACACGTTTTCAAGACCGAGAATGAAGGCTGAGTTGGAGGAGTTCAAAGCTGGAGGCTGGATTGAGACACACAATCGGACCATTTTGCAGCAAGCGCCGGTGAGATGCACAACACAAGAGTGATGAATGGAACTAAGTTTGTTCGCTGTAGGTGTTGGGGACAGTCAGCAAGAATATACAACTACAGGGTATCGCAGTCGATTAAAAAATAGAGTCATTCAGTGTCTGATAGAATGAAAGCAAAACTAAGATCCCAACAATCCAGAGGCATTGTAAAATGAATGCTTTAAACCGACGGGAACCATCCTGTTGGATTTTCAAAAACTGCAGACTGATTATACGTAACGGTACCTGTCGAAACACAGTTTGAATAGGCCTTTCGGAGTCGTCTGGGGTGCTGGATTGGATAGGATGATTTCGCGTCTGGACATAACGGAAAATGCGCAGACGTTTATGACCATACGTTACGCATCCCGCTTTGGATAAGGGTTGCGCTGATGGTTGTGATGATTTCGCGTCTGGACATAACGGAAAATGCGCAGACGTTTTGATCATGACTATTCCAAAAGGTATTCACCCACTGCAACTATACAGTAGCGACCATACGTTACGCATCCCGCTTTGGATAAGGGTTGCGCTTGATGGTTGTGAAAAAAAAACAATTTACTTTGCCAACTTTGATGACAGTTGCAATAAGTAGAAGGGAACTAAGTGACACATACCGATGCTAACGCCACAGTGCGAGCCGGAAAAGTTGCAATTGGTTTGGGATATTGCTCCCATTCTGATCTGATCGAAAGCTCTGGTAAGGAAAGCTCCGAAAGTGCTCACAAACGGAATGGTACGTTGACGTATGGCGCAGCCGATACCGACACCTACTAGGTTCTGTTCAGCAATGAAGCACTCGATGAACTGTTCTGGTCTGGAATCGCGAAGTTTGATACTGAATGTCGAGTTTTTGGTATCGCCATCCAAACCGATCACACGATTGCAGGCGGCACCCAAACGGGCAAGAGCATTACCGTAGGCCAACCGAGTAGCAACCTGCATCAATGGGTTAAACAGACGACTAACTTGCAATAAACGCAAGACATTGCCAATACCAAAGGCAACGCAGCTAAACGCGAATAGTGTCATGAAGATAAATGAAATCGGGACAGTGCCTATATCTGATAACAAGTACAATCACACATGGGGACAGAAACGGCAGCTGAAAGAGAATCGAAGGCGGTTCCAAAGTGCACCGGATTGCGTGACAAAAAAGCCGCACTGATTCACAGTAACGTCGTTTCGGACACAAAGATATTGCAAGCGGTCGTGGATTGACGCACCTCATGACTATGGAGTAACAAAATATGGGAATGATAAAGGAGATTGATGTCTGTTCCAGAAGGCTCAATATGGTGTGTTCTGGTGGAATGTATTCACTCGAAAATTCAAATTAATACAATCCTGGTTTAATAATATATACAGATATGCCAGATGACACATGCCACAACGATGGTGATCGTTGCGGGGCACCACGCGCTGTTCAACTGATCGTTGTTAGCAGAGCGTTCCCTTGGTGTCGCATCAATCAGCCGAGATGACTACACTAAGCGCGCTTTTTCGGCTTAAGTAATCCTGTGGGGACTTATCAAGGAATGCTATGAGTAAACGCTTCGCGGAGTACGGCGTTCCGTTTGACGATACAAGGAACATATAGGCAAGACATCCAGTTTCCTCCGAAGTGTAGGGTTTACAACTTTACAGTCCGAGCCCTATCACCACACTGCTGCTAACATGGACTCTACCAACAAACATGCCTTGTATGCCTGTAGACGCAGCAGACCTTTATTTACGTCCAATCACTGCATCATCCGAGTCTTATCTAAAGTCTATTCGAAACTGAGCTGTAATGTGATTACCCACGATTACAAACTTCAATTCTGAGGGAGTATTTTGGCTACAAACTCCACTTCCGACATGTTGTCGAGGTCACAGAGTGTGCTGTTTTTGGCACATGACCTGTCCGTACAATGTAACGTGCTTCCTGGTTAAATAAAATTCTTGGCACAAACGAAAACTATAAACGGTTTCAAAGCGATTAATGCAAAATTGCTTGAAACTCCAAGCGACTGGCGAGAAAGTCAGATGTAAGGGCTGAGTAGTTTTGACATCTAGAGTCGAAGCAGAGCGAGCACAGAGATTCAGACATGGAGTCAGTGACATAAATTTAAAAGTTCCAAATTCGCTAGGGTATTGATTTGGTGGTTTCCGGAACTAACCAGCCAGCTGATCCACAGAATACCTGCGCACTATCAGCAAACTACAAGCAGTCTCTGCTGTACACAGACCATTATTGCCAATGTAAACCAAAGGGACTGTGATCTACGAAGCAGATACGCGGTCTGTTGAGAGAAATCACCCAGCCTGAATGTGGTAGTACAGATCTCTTAGTTCCTTTACAACAAGGCCCTGGTGATGTCCGTCAGTTCCTCCAAATTTTATCTGGGCAGGGTATTCCCTTTGGCTTCAACAATCTCCGTTCCATTTTGTCGGTTGCTCCATCCTACAGCAACATGTATTGCAACGGATGAAGAATTGCTAGAATAACCTCAATACCCAAAACCTGTAAACCCAATGGTGAACAAAAATTCCATCCGATTTCATGCATTTCTGCTTTGTTGGGTGCCTGAGCGTCCTCACTGGACGCCCCAGATGATTTACATCAATTAGCATACAAGACGCGTACACTTGCCGTTGATACATTAGCCTGTTTTCAGCATATTACCTTGTAGGTTTGATGTCAGAGAAAGGACTTCCGGGTCTGCTTCACGGACTTTAGTGGTGTCCTGAATGAAATCAGCAGAAAACACTTGCTGTATAAACTTTCCCTGAGAGGTATCGAAAGTCCTTCCCTGCCCCTCTAGAATGACTACTTTAGCGATCGAAATCAGTACGTTCATGTTGCGAGAGTCGAGTAGTTCCAGGACGGGATTAGAAAGGAGACAATAGGAAGACGTAATGTACGCTTAAATCGTCTAATAACTGTAGTACATGAGCTGAAAATAGAGTGGGAATCACGAGTTAATGGGTTATGCAAATGTATGGGTTATATAGTCATGACAGTTCACACTGGCGGTCAATGAGGACTCCCATCAACGAACTTCACGTGCCTCGAGGTCATCGCTTCTATTCTTTTACAACACAGACACCAAAGTTTGATTAACAGTGCACTCTGCGAAATACATGGGCGTCATAAGGGTTGGCGGATTATGTCCCACACAGAGAGACATAGACTTGGTTGAGCCGGGCATTAAACCGTCATCCCAGCAGTCAAAAGATAGGGCGCTACAGCTTAATCTATCTAAGTACACTGGGATAGTGTTCACACTGAGGCAGAGTACACAGCTTGAGGCTTTTCCGTCTACTTTGGTTCCAAATACTATCAACGATTGTCCGCTACCTCAAGCTGATTGTATAACACACTTCGGTGTTGTGATTTCTGCTAATCTGGTATAGCATCAATATGCTAACATTCTTCCCTAAAATTAGGGGGTTGTTGTTTGATACATCGACTTTCTTCCTTAGACAGTTCTAATTCGGTCACCCAAAATTTCTCCCTCGCCATCACATTGCCGGTTATTTGTTGTTGTTCACATATCGCTTTCGGTGGACTGCTGAAAAAACGTTATTATCAGGCGGTGCACTCGACCTTTAGTAGCCTTCGGTGAATTTTCCCCATAAGGACTTCGTGGTAAGGGCTTTAAGCAGGAGACATACGAATGCCTGTACAAATCCTCTTAATATATTAAATGATGGGACTTCCCACCCAACACATTTAGGTGCTGCCAATTGCATCCGGAAATTCCCAAAGGGCAGCACTGGGAGCACAGAACACATAAAAACTCCACGGTGTCTTATCTCTTCCACCTGATGACCTCAGTCAACCTAAACCCTCAAATTCTAGTATTATTAGCACGATTTGTTCGTCTCACTAGATCGCTCCTGTATCCTCTCAGGTTACTAATTGCATTCTTAGTTTCTCGTATGCGCACTGCTTATATCGACATGCACCCCTGAATATCGTTTAAGGCGGTTTGTCTGAAAATTCATAGCCAACGATGAATAGAGGGGACACCATGACACTCTTCGGAAGCAGAGCACTCGTAAACTATCCATGACTCTCCGAATGTCACACAGTTTTGTTAATACCTATGACTCGCTGCCTGTTGTTGTGATGTGGGAAGTTGGTGACGGTAGTCATAGATACAGACTGGGTGGAAATCTAGGAGACATGCGGCAGGGATCTCAGCAGTGACAATGGGCTAACAAGGACAAATAGGGAGATGGGACCTAAACAGGCTTTTTAACTGTCCCTTATCAATTGACTACCGAAAACTGAGCCAAAGATTAGAGTTACGTTGGCACAAGTGAGCGTGTTGCAGTTTTCCTGAAAGATATCCTTTGTTCAGAAGTCGCCATTCTGAAGTGATGCAATTCAAAACGCTCAATATCACTATACTGTACCGGTGCAACTACTGATTGGCCATTTGATCACAGAAGTTACGCTTTAGTGACAATCCGTCGGTTAGCATGCCCTGTTTTCCCCACCGAAAACACTACTCAGTAGGCATGTAAGCCAGCTATGGTGACCGTTTGACATACATTCATTATTCAGCCCGTGTGAAGCAAGCAAACGAGTCACTCTCACAGACAACAACAGCACACGGCTGAAAAATTAAACCGAACCAGCAAACACTAGAAAAGATGTTGAACATCAACTCAGCTGTTATCAGTGAAAACGGCAAACAAATGACTCGTAAAGAACAGATGCATAGGGTTATAAACAAGCCCCAAACCGCATTCCATCGGACCGCTTACCTGTTCTCCCAATTTATATTGTGGAGGCGATGGCAAACTGACGTTTCCTATTAGCTTGAGTGGAGTACAGTCGGCAAGTGGGGCTTCGGGATGTAATTTACCCCTAGAATCCATATCTCCAGCCGGTCCGCAACGTATCTTGGCCTCTAGGTGTTTGATAACCTCGGCAGCACTAGAACCGAGTGGCTTGCCATGCCAGTTTTCTTCGTTCTCTATATTCGGGAAACCGGCACCTTTAAAGGTTTTACAAACGATTGCAGTGGGCTTGTCCTTAGTTGAACGGGCCACAGCGAAGGCAGATAGAAGTTCGGTTATGTTATGTCCATCGACAACTATACCATGCCACCTAGATTAAAATACAACGATGAATGGAGAATAACATACTTCGCGGAAAATTGACCTTTAGCTGCCTTTGTTTAGTAAGCCACTTATACGAATTCATACTCATACATACAGAGAAACCTCTAAAGACGTTCAGCACTAAAACCCTTTTGGTGCCATACCACCAGAAGAAAGCACGAGGGCTGGGGTATTGTCAGTTGCCCAAGAAAACCCTTTTGGTGCCATACCACCAGAAGAAAGCACGAGGGCTGGGGTATTGTCAGGTTGCCCAAGACGAGACACAAGCAGTGGGAATGCATAGGTTGGGTTCGAATCAGAGACGTTTCGGTCAGTAAATCAGCAAATCCGCGTCTTAAACAGTGAGCTATCTCGAGCTTTTGAAGAAACCTAGGTTCAAAATGTGGCCAACGAAATCACCAGGTCCAAAAAACCTCTCAAAACTGTTAGGATTTTTCTGGATTACAAGCATATAGAAACTCGTTATCAGCAAAATAACGGTTACGATGAAGGGTTTACCTAGCACTATTTGACAAAACAAGTAGATGAATTCGAGCACAGCAAAAGTTCGAATGGAAACGGATTGCATGGCATGGGAATTTTGGATTTCAACTCCGAATGCAGTGGAAATTAGGTGGGCAAAATGAAAACAAAATTGATATTTTGAACTTCGTTTTCTGGCGAAGCACTGTTGTTTCCGTTCAATGTAACGAGAAAAGAAAAGAATTACCCACAATGGTATACCCTTGGAGACCACATACGCTTAGTGGAGTTACGATGTAACCGTTCATGAGAATTCGTTACACCTCCTTGTTGAGCCTAGAACGAACTCATCCTTAGTCATACTTTCTGCATATGCAAGAGTGTAGCTCTGATTTAATGGAAGATACATTTTATTAGGAACTTATCGCTGTCCTAACCAGCACGAGCGCCCCAGACCATGAAAGGCGCGTCTTGGTAGTTTTTTTGGACTTGCACTCCAGACGTAGTGACAGTGATGGTTGTCTTTAGCAACATCGTACTGACCACCACATACTTCTTAGTACTACAGGATTCAGCAGTAAAAACCGTCGAGCTACCTGGCGTCTTCTTAATGATGGACAATGATGAAGAATCCGTAACGAGGCAATTAGAAAGTGAGTCTTCAGTTATGCAGGGAATCCCATTGAAGAATGTGCCCAGAACCAGAAGCCGCATTGGATGGACATACGCCGAATCATCGTTTACCGAAAAGAGTGCTGTTTTCCATGCCCAATTCGGAGTGGCGGAAACAGAGAGGTGGCCAACCCTTGACCTGGCAGAGGGGTATGGAAGAAATCACAAAACGTTTGGATGCAGTCGGTACTACTCGCCTTCCAGAACCGCGTGATCCACACTGCGCCTGGTTGGAGACGCTGTAAGATGTGGCTGCCAACCAAAATCAATGGCGATCTTGTCAGTTTCTATCCAGGTTGCTTGATTGAGTGTTTGGAGGTATATGCACCTCAAAATGATTGCAAAAAGCTAGCACTAAGTCCCTTACCCGTCCAACTTTATTTCTTTCTTCACAATAGGGCAAATATCATGGTTGTACGGCAGCGAAACACCGGTGTTGAACACTGATGTCAAGCTGTCGATAATGATGACGACACGAGACGAAAGCGCCAGAGAGGACCACACAGGCGATGCACTACCATCTCCACATCACATCAAGCGATAAGGCAGCACCACACATACTGCAAACCTAAGAAGCGCAAAATCCGATCGCCCAAATGTTGACCGTGATCGCCGGCGTATTATTCGATACCGTCAAAATACTTCTAAAACCAAAGTGTCCGGTGCTGCTTAAGAGGCAGCTGCTGTGAGCAGCCGCATCAGAAGTGAGACAATAATGCCCTACACTGTGCGCCTTCGGGTTAGGCGAATTTCCTGCAGCCAAGGAGGTCAGGAAATTAAGTCACCGGCTTCAGAAAGGGTCTCCAAAGAAAACTCTACTGCTTGTTGCATGAATTTCGTCAGCTGTAAGAACCACATACTTGTTGTACAGTGGTTGTAGCGGCCACAGTTTTGTTCATCGATGACTTGGGGATGTGGGGTAGATGGCTGCTCATTGGAGGCGGGAGATAATAAATTGGTGCGTCGATGGACTGTTAATTGGGGGAATAGGGAAGGGAGCTATGCATTTGAGGTAACAGCTTGGATGCAGGAGCGTCACTGAGGGTACTACTGGGCCGACAATAGGCTGACAATGTCTCTGACGATTGATGTGGCACATACCTAGGTCCCCATTCAGGGAGACAGCTTTAAGTGAGACGCTAGGGGCAGGGTCCCTGAACAAAACTCTAATTCCGCCCATTGCCCTACGAGTCGAACTTTTGAGTCAAAGGCTCAAAGTGCGGCCTGTTCATCAAACTGGGCAACCGAAGAAAATCACTTACCCGCACAGTTTTTTACCCCGGTGTCCCTCCCCGACTCCTCCTTACCATACCATACGTTTCATTGTCAGTTATCTATCTGACCGAAAGGACTTAGGCTCCCCGCTGCCTATTAACAATAAACAAAATAACACCTTGCTAACACCTTGCTAGATCCTTTCTACATACGAGCTTTTGACATCCGAACTCCATGTCAAATTGGCAAACAGGCAGTGTTCACTGAAACCTTATACTCCCTTGAAAGTGATGTACACTGTGTCTCCAAAATACACATACAAGACCCAAAGCGTGGTTATGCACATCAAAAAAACAAGAAAGAACTAAAGTCTTTCACATTCCTCCCTCCGTGTGTCGGGTGATACAGAAGACATGACTCGTGGAATATACGGCACGGGAGTTGCACCCGACCCTAGAGCTGAACACTCTTCGGTGAATTGAATCCCATGGAATAGTTGTCTAGGCGCCGTCCGGTTATCCAGCTCAATCGAGCTCAATGCCCCAAAATAAAAAAGTGCCGCTCTGCAGTGTCGGTATCTGGCCCAACGGACCGCAGTTCTGACGCTGAGAATACTTTCTGTCGAAATTTATCAGGGCTCATTCATCGAGGAATCATTGTCATCTTTGCGTACGATATGCATACCCACGTCGGTTTTCTGGGCTTCTGGGAATTACTTCCGGGCGGTCTATTCGGAGTTGACCTGGTCGCACAGACAACGGAAGGCGACTCCTCCAGTTGTGTGCTGATCATCAACCCTCCCAAAGATTCTGGAATAGCGACAGTGCTTCCGACAACCAATAATGGTTGTCTTCCATGACTGGAAAGTTATTCTTGACTCTGTAGACCGTCAGTGCGTGTGGAACAAAGGTGTCCCGAGTAGGTTAATGACCCACCTTGAGACGGCTTATGTCAAATCCCGTGAACGCGTGAAGGTCTACGGGAAGCCTTTGCTTGATTTCACCACATCAATTGGTGTCAGGCAAGACTGTCATCTTTTACCCTCCCTCTTCAACTTCGTCATCGATACGATTATGGAAGACTTACTACTAACCCTTTCATTGCCCAGCTACCATACCGCCCAAAGGAAGCACGAGGGCTGGGATACTGTCAGGTTGCCAAAGCCTAGACAGGGGAATTCGAGAGGCAGAGGTCGGTTCCGAACCACGGACCTCCCAGTTAATAACCACTGAGCCAACTTGCCCCTAGGAGTTGGGTCAAAATGCTCCCGGGGTGTTCGCTCACAGATGTCGAGTATGTAGACGACATAGCTCTTCTTGCATCTGATGGCATGGTAGTGCAAACAATATTAAATAACTTGGACAATTCAGCCTCATGGTAAGGGATACGCTTCACATCTGCAAAGTAAAAAGTGCTGCCACATGACTAAGTGGGATCCAACACTTGCGGATGAGTTGTCTGAGGAAGCAGACGAGTTTGTCTACCTGGGTAACTGCATCAGTCCTTGTGGTTCCAGTGGCATAGTCGTGCCCTCAATGGTACTCATGGAGCCAAGCTATTACCCTCAATGCATAGCTCCTCTTCCAACCTCCCCAACGAAAAGTCCATTCACACCTATGTATCCACGCATTTATGATATCAGCCACCGCCTTCAATGCGCAGCTACCTACCCTCTGCAAAAGCTCCTCTTCCAACCTCCCCAACGAAAAGTCCATTCACACCTATGTATCCACGCATTTATGATATCAGCCACCGCCTTCAATGCGCAGCTACCTACCCCACCTCTGCAAAACATCGGTAAACGGAACTGTGGCATCTAGAACCATTGTGCAGCAAGTAGGCGGTTCTTACAGTTGGTGATGCTGATGATGAAGAAGGTCTTTACCTTGCACATATTTATGAAGGCCATTTAATCTAAATATTTCGGCCGCGTCTTAGTTAACAGTAGTCTATCCCAAATTCTCCCCACAAGTCAGGTACAATATGGATGCCACCTTCCTTAACTTTCGTTCAACTTCGTCAGTGACATCATCTGGTAATGTACTCTCTAAACGTGTGAATAGTGGCAGACCTAGCTTATGCCGGCGACATTTCGCCGTTAGCTGGGGATGATAGGTCGGTACAAACTACTCTCAGCAGGATATCGGAAGTGGTCCTTTGTTTCGGCGTGCAATTCGAGCCTTCAGAATGCCAGTCCTTACTTGAGGGTTTCCAAATCCCGTTTATCCTCTTGAAACTTCAGAATAAATAGCTCGAGGTCGTTGGTAGGGATACTTATCTTGACAGTCACATGGGCTGTAGCTACACTCTGACAAATGAAGTCACTGCACATATGACCACATCAGTAGTATTGTCAGTAAATAATAAAAATCGCTCAGCTGTAACACCTTTTCGGTGCTTATCTGCCATGCCACCAGAAGTAAGCATGAGAGCTGGGATAATGCCCGGTTGCCCAAGCATAGACAGGAGTCGAGATACAGAGGCCGGGTTATAACCACGGACCTTCCAGTCAGTATGTATCACTAATGCACAAAAACATGCGTTTACAGAACGACCGTGGGAGAAGTCCATTTGTGTATGTTTAACTTGACTTCCCCGATCTGATGACTACAAAAGCCGTCAAATACTTAATCACCTCCGTTGTATAACAGGCATTAGCTGGCTGCAGCATGTATGCAATAAAGATGTGCATTCCTGGTGACGAATCGGATCCACCCGAGCAGCAGACAAGACTTATTCGGTCATTACTTCCAGTAGCGAAATACAAGACTGCTCCTTCACCATTCACAATAAACTTTTTTGACGTGCTCCTCCTAAAAACATCCCTGCCTACCTCTGAAATCCCGGAGGACGAAATGCTCCCAAGGTTTTGTCTCGTATATTGAACATAAAGACGATATTACCTACCCCCTACAGACGCAGTTCACTAATCCTGTAACACAGTTTGGCGTGCGCTTCACGCCCGCACCCATGTGGGTCGGAGACGTCACCACTGCACGTGGAAGACTTCTGAAGACTGTGTTTGACCACTGGTGGCTCCGAAGCACTATGCGGGTCTGGTAGGAACATCGGGGCAGTAATTCTGAAGAACGTCAGGTAGTTTTTTGGACTCGATGTACCAGGTAGCCACACTCCATAGATTGCACAGATTAGACCAAGTACTTCGTATATCAGAGGACCGTTTGTCTCGTAGAGCCTTCTTCATCCAGCTGTGTCGCATGAAAACGACACAGGGGCGGTCTTGGTAACGAGGGATGAAAGCTCTTACGAGTCAACTCAGCCGTGTTGTCGTTTCGACGGAAGGAGACCGCAGGGGGAGGAAAATCAGTGGTTAGAGATCCTGACAGATATGGCTGTATAATGCAACTACAGACAGTCTTGCATCAAAACTATCACCTTCATAGCGTAGCTCCCACTCCCTGGCATACCGGAAAGACAGAAGCATTCGATGTTAATGTACAGGCTGAACCGTCGCTTCCAACACATGGCTTTTGTTCCCTTACGCTCCTTCTAGCCGGTGAAGGAAGCTAAAGCAGCTGGAACCGCCGTGCTCCGGTGCGCGGTTCGTAAGCTGACCGACTCACACCTCCGAAGTGCAAAATGTTGCTACAACACTAGATGGGACCAAATTCCAACTTTATGCTTGCAGACCAACCAATTGACGTAGTAGAAAAATTAACTTACCTGGGTATTTGTATAAGATACGGTGAACAGGCTGGAAACGGGATTACTTTTCGAATCAGAAAGACCAGTGCAACTTCTACAACACCTCCAATACCTACGGCGCCGACGTGACTTTAGTTATGCTAAGGACAGAATAAACACTGCGGCAGTGCGATCCACAAAGCAAAAACGTGATCTCTACGCGCAGAGGTTTCTCCGACGAACCTGTCAGGTCTCGTGAGAACATGGGATTAGCAGTACCGAGGTAAGCCAAATCGTTTTCGGACGAATAAACCCCCCCGCAATCAACGAGCCACTCATAATTCATAGGTACTGTTTGTCAGGACATGTCCTTTGTAAGTCAGTGAAACGTCTACTTCAAATAGTTCTTCTTGTTAGCCCTGGGCTGCGAGAAGACGAACTAGGATGAACAGTGGCCTGGAAATGGGGTATGAAAGCAGTTACCAGTAACCTGCGGTTTCCATGGATAACCACCCATCAAGGTTAGTGGCACTGGCAGACGTGGGTAAATCACGCAGCTAGTGCCGATCCTGCACCAAAGCTATCGCATTCAATGCATAGCTGTCCAGTTTCTTGATTCACGAGATAACTAGAATGATGCAACATCAAACAAGTGATCAGAGTATCATATCCATTGTCTGACTATACCTCCGCTGTACTCTTATTTTTCCATGATCGAAAACGAATTAGTCTTAACTGGCACTCCTTTCGCAAGGGATAGTATGTTACGTTGGAAACGGCCTCGAATTATGCATAATCGTAATGAAGTGGCTCACTGCTCTTCTTCTGATTGCTCCCCTTTAACCTTTCTGACAGGGATGCACCACGTGAAACAAAGTACCGGTCAGTGTAGCTCGCGATTGCAGCACTTGCATAATCGTAATGAAGTGGCTCACTGCTCTTCTTCTGATTGCTCCCCTTTAACCTTTCTGACAGGGATGCACCACGTGAAACAAAGTACCGGTCAGTGTAGCTCGCGAAATCATTGCAGCACTCAAATCCGACCATGTGAAGACAACTCTGGTGAGGCCGGTTGGCGAGGTGAAAACTCGTACCAGAACCCATGCTTTTGACGAGTTTCTCGATTTGTCCAAAAGTTTCCAGCTACAGTTGACCAGTACTCTGGTATACTGGCACAGTTCCTGGCTTCTAGTGTTCCTGTGCGTGCAGTTCGAAAGTGTTTCGTACGTAGGGCTGTGACTAGTTGGAACCCGGAAGTAAGTATAAAAATAATAATCGTTCATCTGTAACACCATTTCAGTGCATAGCTGTCACGTCACCCGTAGGAACCATGAGGGTTTAGATACTACCAGTTTGCCCAAACTCGGACAAAGTTGAGATGCAGAGACTGGACTCGAACCTCGGACCTTCTGGTCAGTAAGTTCGCCCCTTACTCCCTGGTATCCTGGAAAAACTCGGACAAAGTTGAGATGCAGAGACTGGACTCGAACCTCGGACCTTCTGGTCAGTAAGTTCGCCCCTTACTCCCTGGTCATCCTGGAAACGAGCGGTCGCACAATTTTCAGTGCACTAGCGCGAAGCGCATATGTGGAAGCGATCCAAGCTATCACTGCCCAACAATGTGCGGATGTCTCCCTACAATTCGGGACCTTAGTAGCTGGCAGTAAACAAGGAATACGTAACACCAAATACCGGCTTAATGAGATAGTTTAAATGACTGAACCGATAAAATCACGACTGTTTTTGCATTAACATACCCGAAAGCATCTACGCGTCTTCTGTATGTGTCAAGGTCATGCTCAAGCATGGTGGGCTGACTTTGACCAAGCCGATTAACGTCGATTAGCATAGTTAGGTTATCCAACTTGTAGTATGAAGCAAATGCCATTGCCTCCCAGATACTCCCCTCAGCGGATTCGCCATCACCAACTATACAGTACACCCGGTAGCTGGCTTTGTCGATGTACTTCCCCACATACGCCATCCCAGCAGCATTACTCAATCCCTGTCCCAACGACCCTGTGGCGACATCGACGAAACTCAAACGCTGAAAGCATATAACAAAAGTAGTCAGAGTTACCGGAGTTGGATGGCCTTCTAGGTCTGAGTCTATTTTTCTCAAGTTGAGTAGGTCTTCGTCTTTTAATAATCCAACTTCAGCCCAGGCCGCATACAGGATAGGTGCAGCATGGCCCTGAGAATTCGTGAGCAAAGTGGACAGCGCAACAGACCTTTGATAGGATGAACCTGTCACTTGAGGGATTTCGAGGATCAGTCGGCTTATACTTCATCTCTTTCAGGAATAGCACAGCCATTATCTCCGCTATGGATGCACATGAAGTAGGATGTCTGTAAAATAATATTGACCAAATTTGCATTAAATTCAAACACCATACCCAGAGTTGGAAGCACTGGTGCACTTGATGCAGTTAATACGCAACCTATCCGCGGCATTTTGAAGATACAAAACTGTTCTCTGATCGACCATCTCCACAACTTGCGTTCAGGAATCCCAAGTAATGTAGCGTGGGACGTCAGGAAGTCAGCGGTATTCGACGTTGGAGAGGATGTAGCGATGGCACACGTCGGTTCTGAAATGTGCAGATATAGAGTTTGGTATTACGGAATCCACACAGCACACATTCGCACAGGTCGGGTGGCACAGAAAAGAACACCGGAGTGTGGCAACAACGCATGTGTATAAAACCAAAACCGAAACCGGAAGACGGGGGGTACAAACTCAGGTCAAGGTTAATCAGGGGGTGTACAAGAGAGTTACTCTTTCCTGCCCGGGGCTCGTGGTGGCTCGTCCGTGGTACCTGCAATAGGGAGAGAGAGGGAGAGGCACGTATAAGGTCATATGAGAGACGTGCAAGCAGATACAGTTGAGTTTCAAATGCGTTGCAGTAAGAGAAACCAAAGGACCCGCCGATCACACTGATGTATGATTTCCGATTTCTGAACTGACCTCAAACGGAAATTGTAGAGCCGCCAATCAACAGAATCAAACCGCAATCACTTTCTCTGATACTGCGGAGTTTTCGAAGTCAATAATTCTACTGGTAGTTAGTCTAGTCAGACTGCACGTTTCGTTAAAAGCTTGCTCATATCTGCGTAACTGAGCAAAGTTCCAAAATCTCCAAACAGCGATTCGCTTGTAACTACCACATAACGATCAAACCACAGGTCCAAAATCCTGCAAAGTGATTTCAAGATGGTATATGACTTTCGCATAATGCCCAAAACAAATTCAACTGCGGTGGATAATTGACTAAGTCTGTTTTAGTCATTTGGCGTGACAAATTATAATAACTATTTCAGAGAATTTGCGCACGACGGTGTTGTTTTCAGTGCTTGGCCCGCGTCGAGTGTATTTTTGAGGAAAACTTGATGGATTTTGTGAAAATGATGCCACCAAGTATCACTATGAGCTGTTTCCTCTATGATGTACGCCGAAGTATTCAGAGGAAACTTCGGCGACCTCCGATAACCTAAATGAAAGTTGTGGGCTGATGCTATTACCACAACCTCGTAAACAATCTATTGTTAGTTCGTTCCATACTAATTGGACCTGCACAATGAATGCCTCATTTTCGACAATATGGTTATACATTGTCGCTGAATGGCGCTTTAGATATCTTTGATTTGTGTCAAAAACACTCATCACATGCATACGTGAGAGTCACGTGGATTATACTTTAAAAAACGTTACACCTTAGGCAAAGACGGAGTGCGACTGGAATAAACTCTCAAAAGCGCTGTTGCAGTGCATATAAACCAAATTAGGGTTCTATTTGTTGTTGAAATCCTACGAAGCCCTCCATGAACGCCTCAAAGATCACAAAGATGAAAAATCGAAAAGTTGTGGTAATAATGACATTCTAATTTCTGACCAGCTTGTTGGAGAATCTCCAATTGTACAAGACACCAACTGATCCAGTGGCTAGTGATGGTCACTCGTCATTATGATCGTATCCTTTCTCGCCTACCTCGGCTGCTTATTGTAGATGCTAAACCTATACATGTGCGCTCAGCTGGTTATGCGGGTTTGACTGTCCATAACAGTCTGATCCGGTGGCCAGCCATGGACATTCGCCATCATAGCTGCATGCACTGTCCTTTGCCATGGTTGCGCCCGTAGATTATAGAACTACTATTGATGGAGCGTTTTTACCCATTTATTCTACGGACACATCCTTAATATGTGGTGGCACTGCTTCTTATTCCGTGAACAAATTTTACTGGACGAAGAATCTGAGGTGAAATATGCATACTCATTTTGATATCATGTATAACTTCGGCAGAAATGGTATAAAATCTTACTGTTATAAATTAGAACTTACTGCTTGATCAGTTAGTTCTAATCTCGGTAATGAAGTAGCCGTGTGTACGCTATATCAATATCAAGCGATGATACGCATCAATGAACACGACGAAGCTGAAGCCCAAGACCGATTTATGCATCCAGAGTTGCCCTAACTGATTGGCCTTTTTCAGCGCCCTACTCTCTACTCCATGCAAAGCCTCACATTACAAATTATGTTGTGGTTACCGACCTGATTTTCCCTCCATTCATCTCTCCACCCACAATACAAATTGTACTAGGATCTTCCTTGAACCCAAGCCCGTTTAACCCTACCTCATGTACGAACTACGCCCCAGCCGACAAGATTGACTTGCCATTGAACCCATCAGTAATATTGACAATATACGCGGAAATTAAGAGGGAGAAAAATCAAATTCCGTCGAATGCCCATGCAGCTTCCCTGAGCTTGTTCTGCCCTCAGAATATGTCCTAGGACATTTCCCTGTGAACACGAAATATCAATTATGACGGAGTGAGAATGCTGTCCCATGCGTAAATACAGGAGGTGTGGTGCTCTAAAAGCAATCTGTCTGGAAAAGCTTCTACGCTTTTTAAGTTGTAAATGACCAACGCTGACTTCAGATCGTCAAACATGCGAAACGACCCTGAACTTCAGATTTCTTCTGCTTTTGCATTCAGTGAACCACCAACCTCCATTTTCCTTTACGGACACATTCATTCGTTCCGTCCGCATATCGCTACCACTACTTCTACCGCCGGAATGTCTACTCTCCCTTTTCAACTCTCGTAGCGTTTCCTTGTAACGGCCTTTGGAACTCACAGCAACGGTTTGCTTCCCGCCATCTTGGGTAGGAGATGCATTTGTATCCTGGAGCTCTCTATTAGATATTTTCGACACTTAGGAACCAAATCTTGATACGGTCGTTCTGTTGACTCTATGGTAGCAGTGAACCACGCTACCTCCTCGACAGACCGACGAGTATGCTCGCTCACAATTTGCCACGATTCACTAGCCAATCCTGGCAACCTCGATTACCCTCATTTGCCCCTCCAGGACGTTCATGTACCCGGCTTGCTGCGAACCCCAGTGTGGCGTTGCGATGACGGTACTGTGACCATCATATACAGTAAATCGTCCATTATGTTGACACTTGAAATTCCCAAGTTTATCCTCGCCCGATTTGTAACCCCCGACTCACTTTGCGTTTAGAGCGCGTGTATGAACTGGCATTTATTTGTCCTTACCACTTCACTCATTTGGCCTTGAGGTCATCCGGCCACTTGTGCCTGACTTTGTGCACGTGTGACTGTCTCACGTGGGGGCCTGTCTACTCCTTTGTACTGTGTATTTTTGTTTTCTAAATGGACCGTTTATTTTGGACTGGTATCCACTGTCGATGCTTGTATCCTTTGTGAATTTGCCTTACATTAATAGTACCGCATAGCAACCCAGCTCCGACTTTGTTTTGCCTTCCCGGAGGTTCTGGTGTTACGCGTCACTCGAAGATACCGCTTGCCCGTTACACGCATCCAATGAGTTGCCCGCAGTTTTATCCATACAACTTCCCAATCAAAATCATTACACGAATCCGCTAGAACGACTCACTCTGTCAAGTTGGTGCCAAAACGCCAAAGCGCTTGCCACTTCATTGTACCATCTGCTCAGTCCGTCCAGAAAACCATTGATAGTTCCAACGATACCGTCCAGGACTCATCATGTGGGCAAATATGGGATCTTGCTGACAGCTCGTTTCAGCGTGTGCTGCCTCACGCAGAAATATCCGCTACCAAGTTCGCCAAACTCAATAGCTGCGACGAATTCCTTGGAGATATTTTTGTCTATTGGGACGCCTGGTGTAACGATAGGAAACAATTTGGTAAGTGAGTCCCCGGAGGCGGCTTTATTGTGAGTTTGTGAGAGGATGGGCAATGTGATTATTATTCATATGCTTTTTCAAAACCTTTTTCAAAACAGTACCAGGAGACAAGTAGAGCAGCGAACTTCAAAAAAGTCTGCATCTTTCGCATACGGATCATACGTAGCCACGTTACGCACTAAATATGCAGAAATGAATGTCAGCAGAGCTACGACAGTTTATCGAGATTTATGATATTAAATCAATAACCTCAAATACTAACATTTCATGCACAATTTTACTCAGTTCGAACTATATTTTGAGGTAACTTTGGGTGTGCTCGTTAGGATCGTCCATGATATTCCGCATTGTCGACTATTGCACTATTACTTGCAGTAAGTTGCACATCTATAATTATTTGTGAAAGTGGTTTTAGCTCAAAATACGAGCGCTGGCAGAAGAAATACGAGATCTTCAATTTTCGTAAATGATGTTGTATGTAGCATCCTCCTCAGGGGAAGGCCCAGGAAGCCTGTGTGCTGGAAACGTTATTCAGAGTGGTGACTGAGATAATCACTTCTGATAATTCACAGCGAAATGGGAGAACGCAGTACTTAATGAAGTTGGTCTTCGCTCCAGTGAAGTGAAGTGAAGTGAAGTAAGTAAGTTAGTGAAGATGCACATTTTGTCATAAACTGTGGTGAGTTAATAGTTTACGGGTGAACTGCTTCACACGGCTCTGAAAGAAACCAGTACATACTTACAGGCAATAAAGTCGTCATTTACAATTGTTGTTAAATAGCACCAGTGCTAGCAATAATAATTATAATAGTAATCATGGGCATTCTTATGTCGACACCAAAGAGCTTAAAGCTAACACATATATCGTGAACTGATAATTATAACGCCAAATAGCCTCACATTTATTAAGGGTACCTCTCGGGCTGTCAGCCTGTCTTAGCCCAGGCTATCCAGCCAAACGAAACTGCCTCACTTGTACCACTCGCATGATGCTCGTGGCTCGCTCAGTCAGTTCGCGAAAAGCAGCTTACGGTTGTCTTAGGCAACCAAAGAAACGAAAACGTCGTGACTCGGCCTCCACGGCACCTGGTCGTTTCGGGTATTTACGAGGGCATATACCAGCTGTGTGACCAACAAGCGTCCATCCATAATAACCAGAAAAAGTCATCGTTGAGGACGATAAAAAATTGAATTTTATCGGGCGTCCCTAATGTTTTATGTTTTACCAAGAACGTTTACGGCTGTCTCACTGGCTAGGGGTCACCAACCTACTGCCGCTGTGAG